TGGCCGGTGTTCTGGCCGATGTTCTGGCCGGTGTTCTGGCTAGTGGTCTGGCCGGTGTTCTAGCTAGTGGTCTGGCCGGTGTTCTGGCTAGTGTTCTAGCCGGTGTTCTGGCCGGTGTTCTAGCCGGTGTTCTGGCCAGTGTTCTGGCCGATGTTCTGGCCGGTGTTCTGGCCGGTGTTCCGGCTAGTGTTTTGGCCGGTGTTCTGGCCGGTGTTCTGGCCGGTGTTCTGGCCAGTATTCTGGCCAGTGTTCTGGCCGATGTTCTGGCCGGTGTTCTGGCCGGTGTTCTGGCTAGTGGTCTCGCCGGTGTTCTGGCCAGTGTTCTGCCCGGTGTTCTGGCAGGTGTTCTGGCCGGTGTTCTGGCCGGTATTCTGGCCGGTGTCCTGGCCGGTGTTCTGGCCAGTGTTCTGACCGGTGTTGTGACCGGTGTTCTGACCGGTGTTCTGGCCAGTGTTCTGACTGGTGTTCTGGCCAGTGTTCTGACCGGTGTTCTGGCCAGTGTTCTGACCGGTGTTCTGGCCAGTGTTCTGACCGGTGTTCTGGCCAGTGTTCTGACCGGTGTTCTGGCCAGTGTTCTGACCGGTGTTCTGGCCAGTGTTCTGACCGGTGTTCTGGCCAGTGTTCTGACCGGTGTTCTGGCCAGTGTTCTGACCTGTGTTCTGGCCAGTGTTCTGACCGGTGTTCTGGCCAGTGTTCTGACCGGTGTTCTGGCCAGTGTTCTGACCGGTGTTCTGGCCAGTGTTCTGACCGGTGTACATCCGGCAGAGTGGGTGGTGCTCCAGCCCAGCCGCTTGTTGGTGCCATCAGTCAGTGGTCAGTTGGTGTAATTCATAGCCGGCTTCTCTGTAAGTCTCAGGATACTTGTGTTGTGGGGGTGTGTTGTGGGGTGTGCTGTGGGGGTGTGTTGTGGGGGTGTGTTGTGGGGGTGTGTTGTGGGGTGTGTTGTGGGGGTGTGTTGTGGGAGTGTGTTGTAGGAGTGTGTTGTGGGGGTGTGTTGTGGGAGTGTGTTGTTGGGGTGTGTTGTGTGAGTGTGTTGTGGGGGTGTGTTGTGGGAGTGTGTTGTGGGGGTGTGTTGTGGGAGTGTGTTGTGGGAGTGTGTTGTGGGAGTGTGTTGTTGGGGTGTGTTGTGGGAGTGTGTTGTGGGGGTGTGTTGTGGGAGTGTGTTGTGGGAGTGTGTTGTTGGGGTGTGTTGTGGGAGTGTGTTGTGGGAGTGTGTTGTGGGGGTGTGTTGTGGGGGTGTGTTGTGGGGGTGTGTTGTGGGGGTGTGTTGTGGGGGTGTGTAGTTGGGGTGTGTTGTGGGGGTGTGTTGTGGGGGTGTGTTGTGGGGGTGTGTTGTGGGAGTGTGTTGTGGGGGTGTGTTGTGGGGGTGTGTTGTTGGGGTGTGTTGTGGGGGGGTGTTGTGAGGGGATGTTGTGGGAGTGTGTTGTTGGGGTGTGTTGTTGGGGTGTGTTGTGGGGGTGTGTTGTGGGAGTGTGTTGTGGGAGTGTGTTGTGGTAGTGTGTTGTGTGGGAGTGTGTTGTGTGGAGTGTGTTGTGGGGGTGTGTTGTGGGGGGGTGTGTGTGTGGGGGGGAGTGTGTTGTGGGAGTGTGTTGTTGGGAGTGTGTTGTGGGAGTGTGTTGTGGGAGTGTGTTGTGGGAGTGTGTTGTGGGAGTGTGTTGTTGGGGTGTGTTTTGGGAGTGTGTTGTGGGAGTGTGTTGTGGGAGTGTGTTGTTGGGGGTGTGTTGTTGGGGGTGTGTTGTGGGGGTGTGTTGTGGGGGTGTGTGTGGGAGTGTGTTTGTTGGGTGTGTTGTGGGGGTGTGTTGTGGGGGTGTGTTGTGGGGGTGTGTTGTGGGGGTGTGTTGTGGGGGTGTGTTGTGGGAGTGTGTTGTGGGAGTGTGTTGTGGGAGTGTGTTGTGGGAGTGTGTTGTGGGGGTGTGTTTTGGGAGTGTGTTGGGAGTGTGTGTTGTTGGGGTGTGTTGGGTGTGTGGGAGTGTGTTGTTGGGGGTGTGTTGTGGGGGTGTGTTGTGGGGGTGTGTTGTGGGGTGTGTGTTGTGTGGGGGTGTGTGTGTGTGTTGTGGGAGTGTGTTGTGGGAGTGTGTTGTGGGGTGTGGGTGTTGTTGTGTGGAGTGTGTTGTGGGGGTGGGGGTGTGTTGTGGGAGTGTGTTGTGGGTGTGTTGTGGGAGTGTGTTGTGGGGGTGTGTTGTGGGGGTGTGTGTTGTGGGAGTGTGTTGTGGGGTGTGTGGGGGTGTGGGGTTGTGTGTGTTGTGGGGTGTGTTGTGGGGGTGTGTTGTGGGAGTGTGTTGTGGGAGTGTGTTGTGGGAGTGTGTTGTGGGAGTGTGTTGTGGGAGTGTGTTGTGGGAGTGTGTTGTGGGGTGTGTGTTGTGGGAGTGTGTTGTGGGGGTGTGTTGTGGGAGTGTGTTGTGGGAGTGTGTTGTGGGTGTGTGTTGTGGGAGTGTGTTGTGGGAGTGTGTTGTGGGGAGTGTGTTGGGGGGTGTTGTGTGTTGTGGGAGTGTGTTGTGGGGGTGTGTTGTGGGGGTGTGTTGTGGGGGTGTGTTGTGGGAGTGTGTTGTGGGAGTGTGTGTGGGGGTGTGTTGTGGGTGGTGTGTTGTGGTGGTGTGTGTTGGGGTGTGTGTGGTGTGGGGGGGTGTGTTGTGGGGGTGTGTGTTGTGGGTGTGTGTTGTGGGGGTGTTGTGGGGTTGTGTTGTTGTGGGAGTGTGTTGTTGTGTGGTGTTGTGGGAGTGTGTTGTGGGGTGTGTTGTGTGGTTGTGGGGTGTTGTGGGAGTGTGTGTGTTGTGGGTGTGTGTTGTGTGTTGTGGGGGTGTGTTGTGGAGTGTGTGTTGGGAGTGTGTTGTGGGAGTGTGTTGTGGGGGTGTGTGTGGGAGTGTGTTGTGGGTGTGTTGTGGGGGTGTGTTGTGGGAGTGTGTTGTGGGAGGTTGGGGTGTTGTGTGGGAGTGTGTTGTGGGGTGTGTGTGGGGTGTGGGGGGTGTGGGTGGGAGTGTGTTGTGGGGTGGTTGTGTGTTGTTGGGTGTGTGTGTGGGAGTGTGTGTGTGGGGGGGTGTTGTGGGAGTGTGTTGGGGGGTGTGTTGTGGGAGTGTGTTGTGGGAGTGTGTTGTTGTGGGTGTGTTGTGGGAGTGTGTTGGAGTGGGTTGGGTGTGTTGTGGGAGTGTGTTGTGGGGGTGGTGTTGTGGGAGTGTGTTGTGGGAGTGTGTGTGTTGTGGGAGTGTGTTGTGGGAGTGTGTTGTGGGGTGTGTTGTGGGGGAGTGTGTTGTGTGTGGGGGTGTGTTGTGGGGGTGTGTTGTGGGAGTGTGTTGTTGTGGGGGTGTGTGTTGTGGGGGTGTGTTGTGGGAGTGTGTTGTGGGAGTGTGTTGTGGGGGTGTGTTGTTGGGAGTGTGTTGTGGGGGTGTGTTGTGGGAGTGTGTTGTGGGGGTGTGTGGGAGTTTGTGGGAGTGTGTTGTGGGAGTGTGTTGTGGGAGTGTGTTGTTGGGGTGTGTTGTGGGAGTGTGTGTGTGGGAGTGTGTGTTGGGTGTGTTGTGGGGGGTGTGTTGTGGGAGTGTGTTGTTGGGAGTGTGTGGGGTGTGTTGTGGGAGTGTGTTGTGGGAGTGTGTGTTGTGTTGTGGGGTGTGTGTTGTGAGGGTGTGTGGGGTGTGTTGTGGGAGTGTGTTGTGGGAGTGTGTTGTGGGGTGTGTGTTGTGGGGGTGTTGTGTTGTGGGAGTGTGTTGTGGGGTGTGTTGTGTGGGAGTGTGTTGTGGGAGTGTGTTGTGGGGGTGTGTGTTGGAGTGTGTTGTGGGGTGTGTTGTGGGAGTGTGTTGTGGGAGTGTGTTGTGGGAGTGTGTTGTGGGAGTGTGTGTTGGGGTGTGTGTTGTGGGAGTGTGTTGTGGGGGTGTGGTTGTGGGAGTGTGTGGGGTGTTGTGGGGTGTGTTGTGGTGTGTGTGGGAGTGTGTGGGGTGTGTTGTGGGAGTGTGTTGTGGGGGTGTGTTGTGGGAGTGTGTTGTGGGGTGTGTTGTGTGTGGGTGTTGTTGTGGGGTGGTGTGTTGTGGGAGTGTGTTGTGGGTGTGTGTTGTGGGGAGTGTGTTGTGGGAGTGTGTTGTTGGGGGTGTGTTGTGGGAGTGTGTTGTGGGAGTGTGTTGTTGGGGTGTGTTGTGGGTGGGAGTGGTGTGTGGGGTGTGTGTTGTGGGAGTGTGTTGTGGGGGTGTGGTGGGGTGTGTTGTGTGGGGTGTGTTGTGGGAGTGTGTTGTTGGGGTGTGTGTTGTGGGAGTGTGTTGTGGGAGTGTGTTGTGGGAGTGTGTTGTGGGAGTGTGTTGTGGAGTGGTGTTGGGTGTGTGTTGTTGGGGTGTGTTGTGGGGTGTGTTGTGGGTGTGTGTTGTGGGAGTGTGTTGTGGGAGTGTGTGTTGTGGGTGTGGTGTGTGTGTGAGAGTGTTGTTGTGGGAGTGTTGTGGGAGTGTGTTGTGGGAGTGTGTTGTGGGAGTGTGTTGTGGGGGTGTGTTGTGGGAGTGTGTTGTGGGAGTGTGTTGTGTGGGTGTGTGTGTGGGAGTGTGTTGTGTGTTTTTGTGGGAGTGGGTGTTGTTGGGGGTGTGTTGTGGGAGTGTGTTGTGGGAGTGTGTTGTTGGGGTGTGTTGTGGGAGTGTGTTGTTGGGGTGTGTTGTGGGAGTGTGTTGGGGGTGGGGGTGTGTGTTGTGGGGGTGTGTTGGGGAGTGTGTTGTGGGGTGTGTTGTGGGGGTGTGTGTTGGGGGAGGTGTGTTGTGGGAGTGTGTTGTGGGTTTGGTGTGTTGTGGGAGTGTGTTGTGGGAGTGTGTTGTGGGGAGTGTGTTGTGGGGGTGTGTTGTGGGAGTGTGTTGTGGGGTGTGTGTTGTGGGGTGTGTTGTGGGAGTGTGTTGTTGGAGTGTGTTGGGGGTGTGTGTTGTGGGAGTGTGTTGTTTGGGGTGTGTTGTGGGAGTGTGTTGTTGGGGTGTGTTGTGGGAGTGTGTTGGGAGTGTGTTGTGGGGGTGTGTTGTGGGGTGTGTGTTGTGGGTGTGTTGTGGGAGTGTGGGTGTGTGTTGTGGGAGTGTTGTTGGGGTGTGTTGTGGGAGTGTGTTGTGGGTGTGTGTTGTGGGAGTGTGTTGTTGGGGTGTGTTGTGGGAGTGTGTTGTTGGGGTGTGTTGTGGGAGTGTGTTGTGGGAGTGTGTTGTGGGAGTGTGTGTGTGTTGTTGTGTTGGGGAGTGTGTTGTGGGGGTGTGTTGTGGGAGTGTGTTGTGGGGTGTGTTGTGGGAGTGTGTTGTGGGAGTGTGTTGTGGGAGTGTGTTGTGGGTGTTGTGGAGTGTGTTGTGGGAGTGTGTTGTGGGAGTGTGTTGTGGGAGTGTGTTGTGTTGGGGGGTGTGTTGTGGGAGTGTGTTGTGGGAGTGTGTGTGTGTTGTGGGAGTGTGTTGTGGGGTGTGTGTGTTGTGGGAGTGTGTTGTGGGAGTGTGTTGTGGGGGTGTGTTGTGGGAGTGTGTTGTGGGGGTGTGTTGTGTGATGAGACGCCCAGCTCCCACAGCTGGTGGCCCAAAGATGAGACGCCCCCGCTCCCACAGCTGGTGGTCCAAGATGAGACGCCCCGCTCCCACAGCTGGTGCCCAAGATGGAGACGCCCCGCTCCCACAGATGGTGGCCCAAGATGAGACGCCCCACTCCCACAGCTGGTGGCCCAAGATGAGACGCCCCGCTCCCACAGCTGGTGGCCCAAGATGAGACGCCCCACTCCCACAGCTGGTGGCCCAAGATGAGACGCCCCGCTCCCACAGCTGGTGGCCCAAGATGAGACGCC